GAGTGATTGTCTTTTGTAAACTAAACGAATGAACTCTGGCTTCGTGTTTTACAATTGATCTCGAAATGTCGTTCTGAACGTAAATATGTATGCATTTCCTACCAATTATATTATTGCCTATTTTTATTCTATAAACTCAAATAAACTGTGACAAGTTATGGCGCCCAGGACGGTTCAAGTGCGCGAAAATTGTGAGTAAAAATTAATCACATGTGACGAACTTGAACAAGAAATAGAAATTATGGCGTCTATGCACAATTTTTCGAACATAGATAAACTAAATGACAAAAATTATGGTTTGTGGAAAGTGCATATGAAAAGCGTTCTCGTGAACAACGATTTATGGTCAGTCGTTGATAGAAAACGGAACAAAACGAGGTAGAATGGACAAGGAAAAATGTAAAGGCACTTGCATTAATTAATATAAGTATAACACAAGGTCAATTCATATATGTAAAAAAGGCTAATACATCAAAAGAGGCATGGCAGAAATTAGAAGATGCGTTTGAATCAAAAGGTCCCATGAGAAGAACGACGCCAAACAAGGAGTGTGTTCCTATGCAGAAACAAACGAATACAAACATGACGCAATACGTGAACGAATACGAGCACAAAGCCGAACAAATTCAAGCGGCAGGCATAGTTCAGTTGTATTGATAGCAACAAGGTATGAACAATTATATAAAGGAAATCAGAATAGACATCACGTAATGTTTGTGAACTGTGAAGATGATAATACTATGAGATGGCATCAGCGTCTAGGTCACTTAAATATAACAGGTGGTTTGAAAGTATTATACTCGCGCGAAATGGTCAGCAGTAAGAATTTACGTTCAAATGTATCTATAGAGTGTGAGGTATGCAAGAAAGAAAAATTTGTCAATAACCATATAAAGATTTATCTAGAAAGAAAACTGAAAAAATGTCTTTGATACATTCGGATATTTTTGGTCCAATGAGAACAGAATCGTTAGGAGATGCGAAGTATTTTGTTTGTCGATGATAGAACCAGATATACGGAAATTGTAATGTTGCGAAAGGAATTGGAAGATTTGAAGCTTTTAAAATGCACAAAAACACGTAAAAGAAAAGAAACTAGCTATGTGATAAAATGTCTACGAATAGACAACGGAAAGGAATATTTTCTTAGAAAATGAAGGAACTAGAAGAAAACTGAGCATAGTTTATAGCCCATAACAAAACGGGTTTGCATAACACACAAATGGTACTCTGGTGTAAATGGCAAGAAGTATGATGAATAGGTTTCCTCAATCATTATGGGCAGAGGCTATCATTGCGGTGACTTACATTAGAAATAGATTCCCAACGAAAGTACTGAATGACAAAACATCTTTAGTAGAATGTTCAGATCAAAAACCATACGTAGGTTTTCTTAGAGCGATCGGAAGCAAGGGAATGATCCTTGATAAAAGGAGAAATCGCGGTAAATTTGTACCAAGAGCAGCTGATGGAGGAAGAGATGAATATGTCTTGGTGGGTTGTGATAACATATCTAAGGTGTATCAACTGTGTAGATCGAATACAAAAACGGTAATCAAAGCACGCGATGTAAGATTTATGGAAACGTTAGTTTCAGAGAGAATTGGAGGTGAATTGTCATTTCCGTTACCAATATTCAATGAAAATATTAAATAAAGTCTACAGAATAAGACACAAAAGAAGAAAACATAGAAGAGGAAGTAGGGAAATATCAAGATACACAAGGAGAAGAAGCGAAATGCGAAGAGACAGACGAAACACCGGTATTTAGAAATGAACGTTTTCAGCGGATGTGGAAGATCAAAAATGTTAAGGACCGGAAAGAAGCAAGAAAACTTTTCCAATTAAAAGAATCGTGTCCATATAACGTAAATGAAATATTGGAAAGGGAAATTTCTGATTTATAACTGAGTGCAATGAATATTGAATATGAAATATTGTGCAGAAATAAAATGTGGGTACTCGTTTCGAGACCGAAAAACAAGAAAGTTCACACTATTCGATTGGTGTTCAAAATAAAACAAAACGAAAACGGTTCTGTAAATAAGTGCAAAGCAAGATAAGTCGTAAGAGGAAATACACAACGTAAAGGAATAGTCGAAAAAGTTTTCGCACATGTTGCACGGTATGAATTAATAAGAACATTGTTGGCAGAAGCTGTAAATTGTGAAATGTACGTACATCTCGTGGATGCCATATCAGCATATGTTCAAGCAGATATAGCCGACGAAGTATATATGAAACAGCCCGAATTATTTGTGAAGTTAGGAGAAGAAAAAAAAGGTTTGTAAGTTACGAAAAACCATTGTATTGACTGAAACAATCTGGATGGAACAAAAGTGAAACAAAAAGATAAATAATTATGTTTTAAAGAAAGGAGCCTATAGCACAGAAGCAGATCTCGGTGTACATGTTTTTGGGAAAAATGAAAAAAGGATTATAATGATTATTTATGCAGGTAATATAATATTAGTTTCAGAAAGTTTAGAAAAATTAAATGAAATAAAATATTAAAGGCAGAATTAGAATGAGAGATCTGGGACCAATAAAAGATATTCTGGGACTAAAAATTGAAAGAAAAGAACTAACAGTCCAAAGAGACTGCAACTATCGAATGAAGTGGAAAGTAAAGTGAAGAATGGAAAGCCATATAAGGAATTAATTGGATGGTTGATATATATATCTAATGCGACTATGCCAGATATTGCATATGCTGCTGGAATGTTGATTAGATTTATTTCCGATCCAGGTATAGTGCATTGAAATTTAGCCAAACGTGTACTAAGATACTTAAAAGCAATGTCAAGTTACGGAATCACACACACCAAAAGTAAAGAAAAACTTATGGCATATACAGACTCCGATTAGGCCGGTGAAATCGACGACCAAAAATCCTGCAGTGGTAATTTGGTTATGTTAGCGGGTGTCCCGATGAATTAAAGATCAAAGGAACAAGCATCAGTTTCTCTATCGACCATGGAAGCAGAGAATGCAGCGTCATCAGAAGCATCAAGATAGATTGTGTATATTAAAAATTAATGAATCATATGGGTTTCGAAGAAATAAGTTGGTTTTCCAGTAACAGTGAACTGTGACAATCAGGGCGCGATTGAACTAAAAAATGCCGTTTTCGACAAACGTTGCAAACACATAAATTACAATTATACACTTGAGTTGGTGGATAATGGTGAGCTAAAAGTAAATTACTTAAGAATACAACACACGATAGCGGACATATTAACTAAAGCATTGCTAAGTGTTAAGCACGATGCCTGCGTACGTATGTTAAACTTATAATAAATTAACCTGCGAAAATCATGTCATCAATAGGGGAAGTGTTAGAATGATATATCAATGAATGATGTTGTGTGAGATTGTTTGTCTCTTGTAAACTAAACAAGTTGTAGAGATATAATTTAATGATGTTTATTATATTAAGTAATTAAGAAAACGAAAAACAGAACAACAAACAATAAAAGCAAGACAGACAACATAGACAACAATAATTCGAATAAACTCAAACAACACAATTAATTCTTTTATGCGATACAAGATGATCACTCTTTTGACCACACTCATTCAAGGCTGTTTTTCAACTCGCACGACTCTCTCTTTTTTCAAAAGAAAAGCGCTCAACGCTGTACTTCTCACATCACATTCATACTTTTCGT